GAGTATAAATGTTAAATTTTGAAGAAAAAAAAAAACCTTGGCAGCTTTAGCAGGCAGTGACTCCATTTCTGAAGCCTTCTGAGCCAGGGTCACCAAGTTGATCTCTTTGGATGCCCTCCTCCTCCTGCGGGTGATCTGTATGACCCCTCCTGTCACTGCTTGGCTGTCTGCTCCTTTTACAGCTGTGACACCTGCTACCCCATTCTGGGGCAGTGGTGGCGGCGGCGGTGGTGGCAGTGGCTCTTTGGAGGTTTGGGACCATATATTTCCGGGAGGAGGACCAAGCGGGGACTGGCCCTCCCTTGAGAGGCGTCGCGAGCGCCGAGGGGCTGCTGGGGCTGAGTCCACAACGTCTGAAGGATTTGTGGCGGCAACCTTTTCAGAGGGCGGATTGGATAATGCAGATGCGTCTCCGGTTTGGCCTTCTGGATGCATCTCCGTTGGTTGTGTATCTTCTTCGTTCGCTCCAGAGTCCGGTGGAAGAGGGTCAGGAGGCGGATAAGCTCCAAAACTTTGGGTCTGCTGCTGCAGGTTTGGTTGGACTTGAGGTTGTGTTGCTTCAGGCTGTGGAACATTCTGTTGCTGTATCTGTTGCTGCATCTGCTGAAGTTGCTGCTCCTGCAGCTGTTGCTGGTGATACTGTTGCTGTATTTGCTGCATTTGCTGTTGCTGCTGAATTTGGTGCTGTTGCATTTGGTGTTGCTGCATATGCTGCTGCTGATGCAGCTGAAGCTGATGCTGCTGGTGAATGTGTTGCTGTTGTTGCTGCTGCTGCTGTTGTTGCTGTTGTTGTTGTTGTTGTTGTTGTTGTTGTTGTTGCTGCTGATGGTGGTGATGCATTTGCTGCTGCTGCATCTGATGCAGAATCTGCTGCTGAGTTTTAGGCTGCTCTCCATAGATTATTCCCTTGTTTGCTGGGAAAACAGAGTAGTAACCTGATGAAAACTGCTGCTTGTTGGATCTGAATGAGGCCTGGAAAGGCTGCAGAATGGGCCCCTGCATGGTGTGAGCAGGCACGTGGGGTTGTCCCTGGAGATCCACACCCTTGTGGCCATGCTGATAGGTTTGTAGCTGGGCCTGATGCATTACTGCAGCAGCAGTGGCATGCTGCTCCCATTCAAGCCCCCTTCCCTGAGTTTGAGCCTGGCTGGCATCTCTGTAAACCTCCACAGGGGCTGTCAGCTGGTTTTCCGCTGCCATCGGCATCGCTACGCCTTCATGAACTCCTTTATGGAAGGCCATCTGATCCCTGACGTTCACACCGCTCATGTACGGGCCAAAGTTCTGGCTCCAGCCTGCCACTGGAGCCTCCTGGGTCCACCCCGGTGCCTGTAAGGGGTCCTGCATCCACTTCACAGCAGAAGGCTGCTGATAGTGCGGCAGAGTTTGGTGGCCTTTCTCTGGGTTGTAAACACCAGAGCCACTTGCAGAGTCACTATGGCTCGCTTTTAAAGCAGGAGAGCCCATACCATAATAAACTTCTCCCGGGTGCTGCACTCCATCTTTCATGACTGGAGTCCGGTGTTTGCTCTTGTCAGTATTAACCTGAGAAGGAAGACTCATAGCAAGTCTCCTAAGATTTCAAAATGGCTTTCGAGTGAATTTCTAATCGTGCAAAACTTGGTGTATCCCTCCTTAGTGTGCTACCGCTGCCCGCGGTCGTGAAATTCTTTAATTGTGTATACAGAGGTATCTGGGAGGAAACATAAAATCCCAAAGGAAAGTGCAGGGTGGGGAGCATGCAGTCGTCTTTCAGCAATTAAAACCGAAGTCTGCTGTCCATTCTTCTCAACATCTTCAGGGGAGCTAGACCTTACAGAACACAGACACACAGAGAGAATAAAATTCATGAATTAGTTCCTATTAGGGGGGGAAACACTTACGAGTTTACAGCCGATTTACAGTCGCCAGCAGCAAAGAGGAAACTGAGGCCTACACCAGCAAATGGCCTTGTGTGAAAAGTGAAATTATAAAGCAGAGGGGAAACTAGTCCGTGTTTGGATTCATGCGATCAGGTGCGTGCACGGAAGACATTTGCAAGCCGAAGTTTTAAGGTAGCAGAAAACAAGGAGGCGCCTCCGGAGCGGAGCTGCCATTTGGCTTAACAAGAAATACAGGAAACGAAGGGGCTCCTGCAATCACCCGAGCGATAGCCAGCAATGTTCTGTTGCAAACAAGCAATAAGGAAGCGACTCGGGAGCTGCGTGCTTTCTAGATCAACACCGCAGAGTCACGAGCGTTATTATTAGAAAAGCCAGAGGGTTCGAGTTACCTGATCAATGGTGCAAAAACGACCCCCTGATCGGCTCCATGGAGTCACTTTTAGGTTTCGATCAAAGCCGACTGCACGCAGCTCCATAGAGGGCTTGTGCGCAGCAAATGTCATAACTCTGACAAGTTTCCATCGAGTTTCGCTGCGCACAATATGGCGATCAGGCGGTTTGACAGCAACACGGAAAGACGCTCCAAAGTCCCGATGGGGTAGCGGGAGGCTTCTGAACGCCGTCGTTACACTGTTGCACACTGTATCCGCAGAACCGTGCACTTCCAGGAAAACATGTCCACAACTTTCTCCCCCTCCTGCCTGCACACCACATCACCGAGTGAAACACACACGAGACGGGTGCGTGCGTGGAAATGCTGCCGTGCAGCGGCGGCTGCAGGTATTTCCTCAGATTTAAAAACTTCTGCTGAGGGTAAAACGTGCTGTTTTTTTCCGGAGCGTTTGGAGCGCTGTGGAAACTGCGCAGATATGCAAAAATTGTGGCGCACTTGAACGCACCGCCTCACCCCAAAACAAGCTCAACTCATATCCTGTTGTCCAATCCGATCGTCTGATGAGGCCCGTCGATGCATCCGTGTGCGTTTGTTTTTCTCCTCACGTTGTCCCGGTGACGGAGTGTTGTCAGACTGACAGAGGTCGTTGTTGAGCCGATTACATAACTACGAAGACTGACCTATCTATCTATCTATCTATCTATCTATCTATCTATCTATCTATCTATCTATCTATCTATCTATCTATCTATCTATCTATCTATCTATCTATCTATCTATCTATCTATCTATCTATCTATCTATCTATCTATCTATCTATCTATCTATCTATCTATCTATCTATCTATCTATCTATCTATCTATCTATCTATCTATCTATCTATCTATCTATCTATCTATCTATCTATCTATCTATCTATCTATCTATCTATCTATCTATCTATCTATCTATCTATCTATCTATCTATCTATCTATCTATCTATCTATCTATCTATCTATCTATCTATCTATCTATCTATCTATCTATCTATCTATCTATCTATCTATCTATCTATCTATCTATCTATCTCCTGTAGCAGTCTATGTGACAGCAAATTTGAAAAAGACTCTGACTAAAGAAAACTTTCCACTGGTAATTTAGCAACCTCTGTGTTACGATGAGCTTCAAGCCCTTGTGTTTGTAGGGCTTCTTCGCAATCACCCTCTTCTGTAGCTCGTGGGGATTCTGGCTCAGCAAAAATATTAATATTACTTCTAGTCAGAAAGAAATTTCATAGTGAAAATGTGTAATCACTAAATGTCGTGTTTCGTTAGCCAGGAGCAGAATAATATCATAACTAACACAAAGTCTTGAAAACATCAGTCTGTGTGCTTTTATTTTGTATATTACGTTTCACTAAGTGAATTGAGTTACTGAACTAAAGGAACTTTTCAACATTGTTAAATTTTTCTGTCATCAAGACATTATATTCTTTGCCTATTCTTCTTTGCTAAATGACTCATACTCAGTCATATTGGACAAAGAACGTCATGCACCACAATTTTTAGGCTTCATAGGCTTTGTACATTTAGTGGTACGCTTTGATTGGGTATATCTTCAGCCAAACCACTTCATTGTAGCTTTTGATATGTTCATAGTATTTGTCATGTTGGAAGGTGGAACTCTGCCCTTGCCCTAAATCATTTGAAGCCTTTAACTGTGGTTGTGTGGCAGAGTTGTCGTCTTGCAATCGGAATGTTGTAGGTTCGATTCCAGCTTCTTTCTGCCATATGTTGATGTGCCTTTGGTCAAGGCACTTATCCCCAAATTGCCTACCAGTCTGCATATGGGTGAATGTGACTCTACTGTAAAGTGCTTTGAGTGGTCAAAATGACTGGAAAAGCTTTATGTAAGTTCAGTCCATTTAACAGATTTCCCCCATTAGATTTGCCCTGTTTTTCGCTTCATCCTTATTTCACTCTCTAAATTTATTCTCAGTCCCTGTTGAATAAAGACATCACCACATCATGATGCTGCCACTGCCATGGTTTCACTGTGAGTAAGTAATTTTTTGTTCTTTTTTGACCAATACACTCCCTTACACACGTTTGTTGTTTCCCCAACTAACAGGTGGACCTTTACAAATTGATTGTTTTCTGAAGGCAGTTCTGCAACATTATATTAAGGCGCAAAGTGTAAAAACGAGTATATGAAAGTGCAATCCACATTTTCACATTTTTACTCATACACAATGTAAAACTCATATAATTTTTCTTTCACTTCACACTTATGTTCTAGTTCTTGCCAGCTTGACACATAAAACCCCAGTAACATGTAATAGAAGAGTAGATATGTTTTTAAAAGTTCAATGAAGCCTAAAACATAACAAGTTAAAAACAATCTGAACTAATCCACAATTTTGGAAACAAATATTTTCATCTTGTTCTGTTCATTTGTTTTAGTAAAAAAATTCTAAAGATAGCTTTAAAACTTATTTCTTAAAGTTGATTTCGGTCTACAATCCAGACTCCTTCAGCCAGTCTAACCCTAACCTCATCAAGCCTGACGTTTTAATTTAATTAAACTTATTTTTATGAAAACAATTACATAGTAAATGGCCACTGCTTCTAAAAACTACTCTATTATTTGCTAAACTAACTTGCCATACCCTCCCTGACATCTCCCGATTCCCTGCTCCTAGCGGATGCAGGAGTTTGCGGACCAATCAGAAGCCTCAAGACATGTGGCGTCAACAACAAGGCATCGTTCCTTAGCAGCTCGCTGGCTAACGCGGACAGCTAATCTCAGCTATGGTCCACCACCACCGATGTTTCATCTGGTAAATAAGATGGTGCTTGGAATGACTCGACTGGTTCTGGACCGCCTGGAAGCATGGAGACTGCTTGGATGGTACACTTTAACTGGTGTCGCAGAGGTGCATTGACGCGAGGTAAAAAAAAAAGAACCCGGAGAAGTGTGCCTCCTAACGGTTATCCATAAGGAGGCATGCTAATTAGCTTATTCTCAGCACCAGCGGAGGCAGTTAAACAACCGAAATAAACAATTTTAGAGATTTTACTGTATCAGGCTGTTTGGTTCCTTATGTGGTTTGTGAATTGTGGCTCTCTTGTGTTAGCTATGCTGTGTTTTGCCACTGCTTTAGCTAAACTGAACCCTGCTAGGAGAGATCTTTCTACTATCAAGCTAGCTAACGTTTTGATAGACTGCCTTGGAAACGTGAGGCGCAGTCCCTAAAGACTACCAGGGTGCAGTAAAATGCTATCAGGTCAGTGTTTGCTGCATCATAAATTGCACACTTTTATGTGCGGGTAAGCTGACGTGAGTTTTAAGGTGGGCTCTTTATTCCTCCAGTGAAGTGCTTGTGACACTGATGCCAGCAGAGAGCAATCAGGATGAGTGGAGCTGGAGAGCACGCGGACATCCTGTCAGTGGGAGATGTGGTCAGGGACAGGTGGAAAGTGGTGGGTGATGTTGATGTGAAGTCATAATTCAGTGGATGAATTCAATTTCGGAATGCCTCATTTCTTACTCAGCAAATGCCACGGCTTTACTCGCCAATATTGATTTCAGGTCAAGAAAATAGGAGGAGGCGGCTTTGGGGAGATCTATGAAGTCCTGGATCAGCTGAGCCAGGCCACTGTTGCCTTGAAGGTCGAGTCCGCTCAGCAACCCAAGCAGGTGCTAAAGATGGAGGTGGCTGTGCTCAAGAAGCTTCAGGGTAAGTTATGCTAAGTCACACCATCATGGAGAGTAACCCAGAGAATTTGAAAAAATAAGGAGAAAATGACTTTAATTTTCAGCTTGTCTCAGCGCTTATAATTCAGTATAATTCAGATTATACTATAGCTCTCCCTTACACAAATTAAGCTCAAAATTATTTGCATCCATGGAAGATTTAAAATTATGTTCCTTCTACCAAGGTCTTTGTTTCTGATTAGAAATAACATTGACATCACCCAAATTTAAATAAGGCCATGCTTCAGTATCATTATCAAGAGAAATATTTATATTTGAACAAAAAATGGTATGTTAAAAATGATATCATTCTCCATAAATAATGAAAAGCCTGTTGGTTGATGTATTTGTAGACTGAACATTTTGGTAGTTGTAGTTTTGTCAATAAATGCTCTATAAAGTGCAGTCCTTTTTGTTTTTATTATTGTTTCTTTTTGTATTTCACACCATTGTTTTTAGCAGAGTAGTGGAGTGCAGATTTGGAAAAGATGTGATTCAAAATGGATTTAATTCCAATTTTTGTTTATTGGGACAATGATAGTGTCCACTCGTGTTTGCATACTGAAACTAGCATGAGGTATTTTTATTGACATACGTAAAACTGTATTTTCCCTTTATAAATAGGAAAAGACCATGTCTGTCGCTTTGTGGGCTGTGGTCGGAATGATCGCTTCAACTATGTAGTGATGGAACTGCAGGTGAGACCCTCGTTGTCCCAATATTTGCCATGCTTTTAGTCCGCCTGCTGCATCACAAGTATGATGATACAACCAACACTGATATTTGGTCCAAAGGGGAGGAATCTGGCAGATTTGCGCAGAACGATGACCCGCGCTACCTTTTCCATTTCCACGACTTTGAGGCTGGGCAAGCAGATTTTAGAGGCCATAGAGAGCATCCATTCTGTGGGCTTTCTGCACCGAGACATTAAACCTGTATGTTTAATTCTGTGTAATGTACCATTCGCTTATTGTAAACATGTTTTTAAATAGGCTTGTAAACTTGATTTTCTGTTTGATTTGCAGTCAAACTTTGCAATGGGTCGACTTGCCAGTACCTGCAGATGCTGCTATATGCTAGACTTTGGTTTGGCTCGACAGTTTACCAACTCCAACCAAGAAGTCCGTCCAGTAAGTGCTCTATTAAATTCATCAACGAAACTTATTTGGGTTCTCAAAGTAACAACTAAAAATCTGATAAATTTGGTTTAGACATCAATGGGCTATTCTAGCATTTTAAAATAAAAACTGTGACTATTGACAGATATTACAGCTTGAGTTTGCATTAATTCTCCTTCAGCCTCGTCCTGTGGCAGGTTTCAGAGGAACGGTGCGATATGCCTCAGTCAATGCTCATAAGAATAAGGTGAGACTTGTCCTATTTACTTATCCATTTCCCTATTTCAGCCATGTTTGCAGCAATTTATTTTTGTCTTTATTAGAGACTAAAAAAAAAAAAAAACTTGTGCCACAGCCTTAGAGCAAGAGAGGCAGTTACTGAGATGTAAATGAATTCTGTTGCTATTAATTCAAATGCATCCTTGACTTCTTGCTCAGGAATAGATGCACTGCTTGCAATTTTTCCAGGCGAAAACCCCCCCATCTTGGCTGGATCATAAATATCACATGTTTTAGATTCATGCTATTGTAAAATCTGCATCTGTTCTGCGCCTTTATTCTTGTCTCTGTGTCTTTGTAGGAGATGGGTCGCCATGACGACCTGTGGTCCCTCTTCTACATGCTGGTTGAGTTCATGGTCGGACAACTTCCCTGGAGAAAAATTAAGGACAAAGTACATGCTTATTTTTCCATCTTGTTCTAGAATTAGGATGCACTGATGCGTCCATCTGCTCATTGTTTTAACCCCTCTCACCTCCCAGGAACAAGTAGGAAACCTAAAGGAGACGTACGACCACCGCCTCATGCTGAAGCACCTTCCTTCAGAGTTCAGCACTTTCTTGGATCACATCTTAACCTTGGATTATTTCACTAAACCTGACTATCAGGTTCTTTTTGCTTGTTATATTTTGCACGTTCTGTTTATTCATTTCCATGCTTAAAATGCTGATACAAGTTTTTATTTTTTACATTGTTTTTTATGAGACAGCTCCTAACATCTGTGTTTGAGAAGGCCATGAAGAACCACAATGTGCTGGAGAACGACCCCTATGACTGGGAGAAATGTGATTCAGAGGATGTGCTGACCATCACTGCTGCAGCGAACACTGCTCAGCAGCTCACTCGCCTCACCCCAGCTTACCTCGGGTACTGGATGCTAAAAAAAGCTCCTGTCACATTTTGGCATTTGAACCTTGACACTTTCTTTTTTTATTCCCTTTTGGCAGATTTTTATTTTTTATTTTTTTTCAGTTTTCATGTTATCCAGTCCTCCTTCACACTCTGCTGAAAACGGGTTCCGGTGTGCAGCTCTGTTTTTAGAGCACAAATGTGCAGAGTCAGAGATCCTTGAGAAAATTACAGCTCTGAATGATGTTGTGGAAATGAGTTGCAGGGTGACCTTCGCTCTTATCATTCCCCAGCATGGCCAACGCTTCGGTGCTGCCCGGTGAGCTGCAGAGAGAAAACACAGAGGATGTCCTTCAAGGGGAACGCCTCAGCGACGCCGACAATTGTCCCCCCATCCCCACGCCGACCACCGCTGGTGGAGACGTGTGGGAAGAGATGGACCGCAACCGCAACCTTAAACATCCTCAACCGATGATCAGGAAGGTCAGGGTTGTTGTTGTTTTGTGCATGCTCTCTGTGAAGCTTTGATGCATTGTAACAGTTTTCTTATAACAAGTTTGAATCTATTATGGGTTTTCTGTAGTTCTCACAGGATCAAAATTACACTTCCTGAGTAGTACAAACACATAAACGTCCTTTGCAATTTGCAGATGAACCATATAATGTTTGTAGCCGTCAACAAACTTCATAGTTTTCTTTGCTCACTTTCCCTCAGAAATGACAAATCTCATGAAAACTGGTTGGTGTCCTGGTACATTCCCGACTTTTTTAAACATAAGCTTTCCACAGGATTGATGTTGATGCAATTCCAGAAGCTTAATGTTGAACAGGAAGCAGCTGCATTGTCACTGAGAGGTTGCTTTGAAATCACAATCTACAATCTCGGCTGAAATTTGTAGCTTCCCACATTGATAAGCCAATAACAGCTTCTGCAAAGCTTTACAGTCAGACAAGTCAAACACTGAACTACTACTGCAACTAACATTTAACTAATCACTCCAACCATTATTCTGCTAATTAATCTATTCAACATCTGTTAAAGGAGTTCAAAATTCTATGCAAACATTTCCAAAGTAGCAACACAAAATGACCAATTTTAATGGTTTTTATAATTTTTTTGTTTGTTTGCAATGAGAAAATTCTGGACAGACTGATTTATAAACTATGCCTAGAAAACAAACATGTAGCATGAGCTCTCACAGTGTGCAGTCATTGTCCAGCACTCCTGAAGTCATTGCTGTGTTCCTCATAGGAGCCTGACCTCTTTGTTGAGGAATATAAATATTGCTCTTCTTTTTATTTATAGAAAATGATCCATGTTTGTAGTTTTCTATGTAGTTCTTTTCTTTGAAACATGTTCTTGTCTACGTTCTTCAGGTAGTAAGTGAAGATGAACACAGTCAGAATCAGGGGAACCAGAGTCCCAACACCGGCTCAGTGCAGAGCTCTCCACGTCGGGTCCGATCAGAGACCATGTTCCTGGACCGAGCCGCACCACTGCTGCGCCGGATGAGGCACAGCCAGAGCCTGGCGTTTGAAAAGCGCCTGGCGCCTGAACCAAAACCCACAATCGAACGCTTCCTTGAAGCCTAGTAAGAGTTTTTTACAAATCAAAATAAGCAAACTAAAATCTAAAGAAAAACAATCTCACGATTCTCTTATTTTTCTTCTTTCTGTCAGCTTGGGCAAACAGCGGCCGGTGCTTTGTCACGTTGGGGAGAAACCAATCCCTGAGAACGGACAGCAGACGCCTCCCTGCAACCAGGACCAGTCCGGCACGGCGACCCCTGACCCGGAGGAAGCAGCGGCAAGCAGCGGCTTTGTCGCTGTCAACTTCAGCCCCGTGCCTCAGGAGGCTGACTCTCAGGAATGGGTGATGCTGGAGCTGGAGCAGGCCAACAGCTCAGGAGCAAGCAAACCTCAGGCGGAAACCCAATGTGAGGACAAGTCGGGTCTGTGCGGTTCTGATAGAGCAGAGAATCATTCCGCTGAGCAGCAGGACAGCCAGACCGGTCCTGCAGTACCTAGCAGCCCCGTCCTGTCGCAGATGGCCATGCCCGGAACCTGGTTGCTAGGTCACCGCCGGCTGCCAGGGATGCTTGGACCTTCAGTCCTGATGGGGAGAACCCAGATGGAGCAGGTAGGACTGAAAGACATTTTCTACAGACAAGTGCTGTGAGCAGCAGCAGGAACATTTTCTGAACAAAGTAGTCTGAAGCTAAGGTCAGCTGCACTCAGAGCAAGCTCAGCTTTAATGGAGATGTCATAAAATATTTAAGAGCACATTATTCTTTCTAGACTTTAGCTACACATTAAAAGTAGTACTTTCAGAAAAGGGTTTTTAAACAGAATTTCTATGCAGTTTGGAAAAGCGTAGAAGTTGAGTTTTCAGACTTATTAGACTTATTCCATTATCTAAAACATCTCAATCTGAATTTCTGGAAAAAAATAAATAGCTCAATTAATATATAATAATACCAAGTTAAAAACATGACTGAAATCTTACACATTCGAACATTTGTGATTTTAAAGCTCTTCTTTGCGTCTAATAATGTTTGTACCTGCTTTCAGTCCTCCAGCAGTGGGCCGCAGTCTCCTGTGAGGAAGAACGATGCGGCTCCATTAGACACACCAAGCTGTAAATCTCAGGAACTTGCTGAGGACGTCTCAAAGGACAGGAAGAGGTTGGACTCAGTGCCAGAGTTGATCCCTGCCAAAGGCGCCTCGTCCCACCTGACCAATGACAGAGACCCCGAGAGTGACTCTGGCCTGCCTGACCGCTCCTCAGAGCCCAATCAGCAGCCTCCAGCTGATCCAGTGGGGGGCGCCGTGGAGAGCACTGTCACCGTCTCCTCCTCTCCTCCTCCCGCTCTGCTCAAGCGCAGAGACTCCCCATTGTCTCCGAGACTGAGCCGGATCCCGGTGCGAGATCCCAGCAACCCCCTGGACTCGCCGAGCCGGGAGCCGAACGTGGAGCGGCTTCACCGCTGGAGCAGCCCACTCCCAGGCTCCCCCACTCACTCGCCCTCTCCCTCCCTGTCCTGTGACAACCTGCCCTGTGCTCTGCCAAGAGACAGGCTGTCCTCGGAGCGCGGCTCCAGGTCCGACTGTGGGGGAGAAGACCCCCTGTCCCTGTCCTCCTCATCCGGAAGCAAAAGTAAAATCCCTCGCCCTGTGAGCGCCACATTTCTGCCGGAGCAGCTCAGTGGAAGGTTTTTGCCTCGGCCACCTCCAGGGAAACCCCCCGTCCGTCCGGTTGTGGACAGCAGGTACGTGTTGACTGGGTGTCTTTCCCAATGACTCTTATGGGCATCAAACTGGGATTACAATCAGGCAGGAATGTATGTCTGTCACAATTACCAGTAATCGCATGATGAATGTAATTGTGGTTCCATATTGAAAAATGCTGCTAATATTTGACACATTTTTATATTTTACAAAATCCTAACTTATGAGAAAATGAACTCATAAGGTTCTTTTTACCTAAATGAACCTTATGAGTTAATACATTTTCAAGGGTAATTTTGTTCTGTTGACACTTCAGTAAGGCTGAAACGATTATTGAAATAATCATCAACTAATATAATAATCAATTAATAATGAAATTGAATGTAAAAGCACCCAAAAAGCCATTTGTTGAATTAACAACACACTCAAAGCAGTATTTAAGCCAAGCATTTTCCAAAAAATATATAAATTTTGCACTTAAGATAAACAAAACCTATTTATCTGTAAATATGTTCCTCATGGAAGTCCTCAAGTGGCATAGTTTCAGCTTTGCCTGGTTCAAATTCTTTCTTCACTGTTTGTTTCTCTGCAGACGGCGGCGTTTGAGGGTGCGTGCCAGCAGCACTAGCGATGCGGATTTCCTGGCCAGCCTGACCCAGCTGATGCAGGACCGCGGCGGGATGCTCTTCAGCCCGCCTCCCCGCCCCCGCAGCTCCTCCTCCTCCCTGCAGCGCTCGCTAAGCTCCTCCCCCTCCCGCCAGGAGCTACGGGAGAGCAGTGCTCTGCCGGCCCGTAGCCGCTCGCCGTCGAGCTTGTCGGGCTCCCCCCCGCCACGACATGCGCAGCCGCAGGACAGGGCCTTGTATGGGCCAGCGCAGTGGGGCCCTGGCCCCAGAGGGAAACCCTTTGGGAAAGTGACTCGATGACTGCATCCGCCCCACAACTGACTGGTCCCAAAATGTTGCACCTGTGGCGTTAGGCTGCCTACGCCCTGATAGCATGTGTAAATATGACATTTACTGAAAGGAATGTACTGTATGTAATGTAAAATGTATGATAAAATGTATTTATTTATTTATTCGGATATGAAACTGAAAAAGTGGAGAAAATCTTGAGATTGCCAACTTTTACCTCTCATTTCACTCCTCCATTAAAACCCTATTTAGGCCTAATGAGACCAAAATAATCACGTTTAATACTTGATATGTAACAAAAAATAAAACTAACTGTAGATATGTATTAGAAAAAAAAAACAACCCACTAAATATATAAACCATGTATTCACTGTAGAAACACTAAAGAACCCCACAATCAGTATATATAGATCAGCATTCATGTACAGAGCCAGAGCATGCAGCTTACGGACATCACTCTGGTCAAACTGCTAATCCTAGTATTTAATAATGAGCTACTCATTTGACTTATCTTAGGGTAGTTGTGTGCTTTTATGTCGCGTCACGCAGCCATCCGCTTCTAAGAATGTACGATAAGAGCGCTATTGTAAACATGCATGAGCTTCTTCCTTGCAAACATTGTTTTTGTTTTTTATTTATTTGTACAATCTGTTGAAGCATCTGTGATTTATTGAACTGGTTCTGATCCAAACAATGTGGATGTTGGAAGATTTATTTTTTATTTTTTTGTTTGTTTCTGGGTAATTTTTGCAGAGGGAGTGGAGGGGATGGATGGCTGGTGAAAATATTTGACCACCTATACAGCAGGAGAGCAAGTTAGAGAAAATAGAACCACAATAGATGTTTCAATAAAGGTAAAATACACCAATCCCGCTGATTTGTTGTTCTAAACAGAGGGAGTTGGAAGAAATGGTTAAGAAGAGTCTGGAGACTCTGTTTTTATCTCTTGAATTTTAATTATGTTTAAAATAATTAGTATTCAGCCCTTAACAGTGATTGAAATCTTAAGTTTTACCACAGTTGGCTCTGGCCATTGATTGCAGGCTCAAATACTGATTTGTCCCTGTTAATTTAATACTTCAAAATGGAAACTTCAACTTTGTTAAGTCCTTAAATACACCAGCTAATCATGTTTTGATGAATTTGCATTTAGGAAAAATCAGCTGAAGGTTTAACATTATTTGCTTTGATGCATAAAAGGGGGACAATCTTGAAAACCATTATTTTGTTAGATTTAACTCTCCCTGATTTAAACAATGTTCTGCAACCCTCAGAACATTGTTTTTTTCCATGATCTTTTTTGTTGGAGATGAGTTTAAACGGAATAAAAATTGCCATATAAAGTTTATATTTAAATATTTAAAAATTCATTGCAGCAATTCAATTGAAAATGTGAAACCTGTATCTTCTATACAAATTATATTAAGTATTTTTTTGAGGATTTAATCTTAGTTCATGAAAACCAAAAATTGAGTTTCATAGATATTTTAAATATTACAAATTAATAAAAGATTTTCAATACAGAAATGTTTGCCTTCTGTAAAGTATCTTCCATTATGATAGCAGGGGCTGCTGGAAACGACCCTGTAAAGTTTGTCTGTACCTAATTTTTTTGTCTTTCCCATTAGCCATTACCAGGGTATAACATTTTAATATTATATATTACATATATCTGTGATAGTTTTTCTGAAACACTAAAATAAGCTTTTCAATGATATACTAATTTATATAGCTCTAAAAAATGTAATTCCACTCTTTAGAGATTGATTCTGTTCTTATTTAACCAAACATTAATATTGGACAAAGAGCACAACAAGCGGTTGAAATGATTTCATTTAATTCAATATATCCAAACCAACCAAGTGAGAAAGGGTAAGCAGCACATCTTTTGAAATTTCAACCTAATGCAGCAGTACAAAAATCTTTATACACAATTATTAATTAAAATACATAAGATTTTTTTCTATAATAAAATTTTGCTCAACTGCCAACATCACAAAGAGCATTTCAAAACTATTTTAAAGCAAGCAGTAAAGCCTGGCATTCACTTTCGATGGATAATGATTGGCGATTGGAACCTTTTGAAGGGCAGCCAGTGTCATCCATGTTGGTGAGAAGCTGAAAATTGCAGTTTTCTGTTTCTCATTTAGAAGAGAGGTGCAGACTGCCTGGGGTCATCTGGTAGCACGCTGATGGAGTCCTCAGCCTTTCCACACAGCATGCAGAGCATCGTGTACTCCTGCACCGACGGAACAAGGATGTAAAACCATCTGAGTAAGTCTGTGGATCCAAGCGAGGACTGTTGATAAATCAGATGTCATTACTCACCTGATACTCGTCTACAACAGAGAACGTGTACTCGTGTCTGGCGATGACGTGGTCACAGTTTTTGCAGACATCTGGAAAGATAAACAGAGCGTAGTGGGTGTTTCCTCAAAGTGCTGGTTATGGTCCACCAACTACTAGAAAGATAGTCTGACAAGTAACGCATTAATTATTAAGTGATGCATTTTAAAGTATTAAAATTTTACTAGCCCCCTTTATCATCATACCCCTAAGTGAAACTTTACTCACATTTATAGTGAGCTTATATTGAGTAATGTTTAAAAACAAACAGCATCGAGAAGATATATGGAGGAAAATGGTACAATACACCGACAGGGGCTAAAAAAATGCACACTGCACTTTTTAGATTATAATACATAAAAGCAATTTTAAAAAAAAGGATTCCCACATTTTCTATCACACAAAATCCTAACAAAAAATTATCAAGTTCTCCACTGTATCATGAGTAGGATATAATGTATTTGTGATTGGACAACAAGGGACACTAACGGTCATATGTGACAATTTCCTCCCCATCATCATCCTCGGTGGCCTTGTTGCTGATCAGCACAAAGTCTCTCTGATGGCAGTTCGCACAGCCCAGATAGTTCATCAAGAAGGAGCCGTTCTCCAGACAAGTGTTACCCTGAAACAACATCATTCTTCTGTACGCCACCACGTCAAGTGAAACTTTTGAGACATATCGGCAGCTTCAACTTACCCGGTCCGGGTATTCTTTGTGCACACAACCATTGCACATGTTGACCTAAACTTTCGTAAAATAAGACGAAACAAAAAATAGTGTTACAACAATAAGCCCTTAATAGCTAGCATTTAGCTAAATATTTTCAGGAGCGTTCACTCTTTCGCAGGAAGACATTGATCAGATCTATAGAACATCCAACGCGACAACATGGTGCGGATAACTTTAATCTATTTCATCCGTATGTTTTGTAGATCTAGTAGCTGGAATTTCCGGTGCGAACATGAATGAACTATTGGACGACGTAAATTTGGACGTCAAATACGTCAGCAAATATGGCGACTGCGTAAGGAAGGAGGGTTTTGGAGCCATGTGAAATTTGCCAGGTATTTACAAAACTTGTTTAAATAACTTTACTGTTTTGTTACATTTGAAAATACGAGCAAACCGTATTTAAACGTTCTTAAATTAGTGTGCCATTGTATTGGAGTTGCTTGGATTATTAACGTGCAACTGCTAACTAAATTCTCAGAGATTTCAGTTTAATACCACGTTGTCATGGATTCATTTGTTTAAAATAAGTGAAACATTTTATCGAGCTTGCCTCTTGACAAGTCTTTTTCTGTAATAACATTAAACCAGTGCATAAACGAGGTACAGACGGTGAGTATTTGCAGTTTGGACTCAGGATTGGAGTTGTTCAGACATGGCAGACGTACAAAACAAAAAAAATAAGGTGCAGGAAGCACCAAAAAAGAAGAAACCTGCACAGCCCCACCGAAAGGCAAAGAAAATCTACTGCATTCTATGTCGCAACAATTTTTTAAAAGATGTAAGTGGCTGTAATTATTACAAATTTTTAATTTGTTCTTTATTTTATTCCCCCCCTCAAAAAAAATCTAACTTTGTTTTTGTCTCCTCAACTGTAGGAAACACATGATCATATGCACAGCATGCATCATCACATTGAGCTGGAGAAGGTGTTGGGCAAGTAAGTACCATTTTCGTAGCAGCAAAAATACATATTTCATGTGTTTATGTTGTAGAAAGGTGGCATATTGTGAACAAAAAGATATTATTGTTATTATCATAACAATGATAATGGATGATTTCACTAAAACAGAAATGTGCTGTCACACTAGCCTTCCTTAGAAATCAGCATCATTTAATCAATATTGGAACAGGTCCCATGTTGTTGGAATTAGAATTTGACATTTTCCATTTCTGGATTATTAGGGAAAAATATTTGAATTTTCGGGCATTTTCTTTAACCTGTTTCTAAAAGTTGTAACCATGCATGTTTTAACAAGCCTTTATAAAACTCAAACTTGCAGCATTCGGGGATTATAATTTTATATTATTGTATTGATGGCATCTTTGTCATAAAGTATTTTGTCTTCTAAAAATCTCAAATTGTTTGAAAGCTGGAAGTCTGTCTGTATTTCTATCTGATGTGTTATTTCTGTCTTTGTACCAATAGGGATGCCTTTCACAATTGCCAGGCATGCAATATACATTCATTGGGTTTGAACGAATATGGCAGTCATATCCTAACATCAAAGCACCAAACAATGTTTGAGAACCTGAAGAGCAAAAACGTTAAGCCTGTCAATCTGTTCCAGACTCTCAGCCCAGCGACTGTAAAGACTATCCTGGAAAGAAACAGGGCACTGACGAAACAGAAGTAAGAATTTAATGCTTTGCTGTTGCAGACAAAAAAGTGAGTTTATTTTGTAAAACAAAAATAAAATACTCAGATTGAATATTTGTTTGTTTTGTTTATTTTAGATTCCCATAAGTCATTGCTGTGATTGTAATTGTACATAAATGTACAATTACCCTTCCTGGGATCCACATCATTAAAAATACATTCATTACAAAAACAGCTTGACCCTTAGTATAACATTAGTGACTTAACATAGTGATTCATAAATGTACAATTAGAAGACTTGACAGGTTTTCCGTCAGTCTATTATAAGCCTGGTGGGCCACCAGGCTTTACTTGTTCCCCACCAGGCTAAGCATTGATCACTTAAGTTTTTTTTTTTTAAATGTTTGCATTTGTAAGATTTTATAGTTGGTGTTCAGGTATTAATCTTTCAATAACACATAAAGTAATATTTTTAAATTTCCTGTCAACTTTAAGCATTTTTTTAACTCAAAAACACACCAGCCTCTGGGTGAATGACTGCCCTAGAGACCAACCACCGGGCTTGACAAGTTTTCCGGGGGATACCTTGCTTTGTATCATAAAATAATTAAACAGGGCTCTTTTAAAAGCTCTTGCATATTTTCCATTTAAAACAAGAAGAAATTGACTTATTTTTAGAGGTATGTTTTTATACCTCTATAAAGAAGTTTTCCCCAGCATGCACAAAAATATTCTGTTCAGCATTCCTGTTGCGTGGTAGAAGAGTAAAGCAACCTTTTAAAGTGTGCCTTGTACTAAATTGTGGAAAGTGTAACTAAATGGAAGTTGATTATATAAAACGAATGGTTATTTGTATTTTCAGAAAAAAGGAAGATAAGAAGTCTAAAAAGAAACAAAAGCAGCAAGCCGCAAAGACGCAACAATCTGGTGTCCAAAACAGGAGTCTGGACTCCAAAGAAACGATACAACCCAAACAAATGCAAATGAGAACTCCAAACCAGTGGCAGCAGCCACACTTCCCAGAAAGCAACAATGGTGTTATTCAAAATAAGGAGAACAAAATGTTCCGCATGGAAAACCCGCCTCTACAAAGACCATTTCCTGAACAGAACTGGAGACCACCTTATCTGCAAAGAGCTCCTGTGAGTCAACATTTCCATCACCAATATGGCTGGCATGAGAACGACCAATGGCATAATGATCACTTTGCCAACAACGTGTATTACCAAGGGAATATAAACGGGTTCCAAACTAGTCCATATAGCTACCCTGGGCCTCCAGCTGACCCGTCAGCACAAATGATGCCCACAGTGAGCCAGAGCAACTTCAACCAGCAGAAGCCGACGGGAAACTGTTCCATCACTAACAGGCCGTTCCCTCAAGATGGACCCAACTTGCTTGATCAATACCAATCAGAGAAGGGGAATTCCACTCAACCAAAACATGCGAAAACCGACTCAGTTCGGCCAGAAAGTTCAAACAGTTTGGCTCCGGGGGATTCTGAAAACAAGTGTGGCAGTCAGGCTCCTATACAGGATGTTGATGTTGGCTCCATGCTGAAGCAAATCAGGAGAGCACTGGGTGTCAGGGAGCCATGCAGGGCGGATCGAGAAGCTCGGCAGCAGAATGGGAACGACCACTCTGAGGATCGCTGCACAGAGAAGCCAGTTGCTGCAGACCAGCAGGCAGAAAATCCAGCTAAGACTGAGCTGGCCAGCACCCATGCTACTACTGCTAATGCTGGTGCTTTTCCTTC